TTCGGGGTTACTTAAATAAATTACAAATTCGTCATGGTCACTTGCTTTGCTGCCTTGAAATGGGTCTTTAATTTCGGTAGATTCCTGTGGCTAAGATGTATTTAAGTGAAGATATTATAGAGTCTCAAAGGAAATACAATATATCTTATAGATTTCATCCCTTTTTGACCTAGTCTCTTCAAACCCCTTTTTTGAAATTAACCATCTCACAAATCGGTCACGGTCATTTTGGCCTTCTTTTGTGACACTTCCTTTTGCGCTTTAACCAGCCTGAAAATAAGATTTCAATTTAGCCGAAAAAAAATTTTTGCTGTAACTGCCATTGTGGTTACTTTCATTCTTTATGCCTCGAAAGCCTTGCTAATTAATTTGATATTTTTCCTGCGCGAGCGTTGCTAAATAGCAAAAATTAATGCCAAGGAAACACATTGTGGGCGTGTCCCCCTCCGATAACAAGGCGCTCACAAATGGCTCGGTAACATTTTGTTCCTCTTTCTGGGTCTTTTGTTCTTACAGTTTTTTTATGGACATTCCATGGGCTCAGGATAAAAAAAAACACACACACACAAAAAAAATATATAATAAAAAGAGGAGGAGGCGGAAAAATTAATATCAATTTTCGAGCTTTGTCTAGGGCTAACAACCCCTCTTTGTTGTTGGCCAGTGGTAATGCTGCTGCTGTTGACGTAGATTATAATCAAATGTATTCTGTTCCGTTCTGTGAATAATTTTTCCTTGTTTTTGTTTTTTACGCAATGTTTGTTGTAATACGTTTATTTTTTTTTATATTTTCATTGCGTGCCTTTGGGCGCTATGAATATATGTCCTTTCAGCCAGCTCCTGGCTATATTATATTAATAGCAATTACTCATAATTACTCGCTCTCTCTTTTTACGCTCCTGCTCGCTCTCTCTGTGTCTGAGTTTCCCTGCAATTAACTTGATTACAGCAACAGTGACAGGAGTGGGAGTTTTCCCTCACTGTCTAGGCGCTGCACTGACCCATGAAAAGGACTGCTGATTGTAAAGGAGTGGAAAAGTGAAAAGCGAAAGGTTGGCAAGCACATGCTTATAAATCACAGAAGCTCCTTAAGCTGCTCCTGGCTTCCATTTCTTTTTTGGTGCTTTTTTTCCCGGCTAACAGGGACTGCCTTTGCTTTCGTTTTTCACTCAAATTCAGTTAACCGCCTCAAGGGTCTGGGAACGAAGCCCTCGTCCTGTATCTGGGCTGGGCATCTCTCGAGTGCGCTACAAGTGAGGATATTATTTTTCGCTTTTCAGTGGCTCAAACACACACACACTCCGACCGATAATAGAACATTTGGCCGCAAGACAAATTATTTCGAGGCCAACGGGAAAAAGTAGAAAGCGGAATGTGCACAGGGAGAAAATAAGGAAAAGCCTTTACCCCTATTGCAGGACTTTCTTTTAAAAGATTTTGATACAAGAATGCCAACGTTATTCTGTAAACTTGGAGAAACAAGGGAAGGAACTTATCTTAATGCATTTTGATGCAAGAAGAATTAAATTTAAAGTAAGAATGGACAAATGATCCTAAAATTAATTTAGTTCCTACATTTCATTACCATTTTCTTTAAGTGCAAAGCACTCTCTTTACCTCTATTTGAGGCACCGCCCCTCGGGGCGACAATCATCATCAGTGTCAGCAACAGGAGGCGGATCCGTTGGCTTTTGATTCCAGCGGCCAAAGCGCGTTATTCCAACTGAATCCGTATCCGAATCCGAACAGAATACACCTCCGCTACAGCTGCTGCTGCGGGGCGTGTTTTTTCGTAATTGAAAAGCCAAAAGCCAGAAGTGAAAAGCGCCAAAACGCCAAAGCCAAAGCCAAAGCCAAAAGCCAAAGTGAAAACTCAGCTACAAGTGGCGCCGAATGGAAGGAAATTTATATGGTTAGACGAGCGAGTCAAGGACGTTGAAGCTCCCTCTTGCTGATTGACAACATATTCAAAGCCAAATCATCGACTAATGCCGGTAACGACTGCCAATGGTTGTGAGTGTGTCTATGTAATGTTAGTGAAAATGTGCCAAGCCGTCGCGTCATGTGCGAGAATTAATTAACAAAATTGCGTTTTAAAAATGCGATGCGCGCCTTCTTTCGCTCCGCAAAAAAAAAAAAAAAGGTTGCAATTACCGTTAATGAGTTTAATGCCAAAGGCGCCACCAAACGCATCACTCTCTCCTCCTTGACTTTACTCTTAATGAGCAGGGGGAAGAAACGTCCTTTTTAGGTATCACAAAAGTTTCACAGCATGTCTATTTTGATGTTTTCTGGCTCTCTTTTTTTCACTTGCTACCCTTTTTTTTGTACTTTAAGCACTGAGAGAAAATAAGTAGTGAAAAGGATAGGATAATCTGAAGAAGTTTATCTTGTCTATTATCTTGAAAAAACTCAAGGAGGTTAGGAATGTTAGTGATGAGAAGAAGGACCCTTAATTCTAACTGCTAGTTATCGAAACTATCGAAATATTAAGATAATTATCGATTTGTTTTGTACTTTTTATTATTTCTCCTCTATTATTTCAAAGAAATGCTATTTTAAAGTGGTTTAAAGTTGTACAATTTAGAAAATGTTTTGAATACTGAATAATATTTTTTAAAGATCTCAAACTTAAATATAGATATAATTTCCTATCAACTAAATTCATTTTCCCTCCTGTGTATGGTTAATTTTTTTTTCCTACCCCATTTTTCCATTCTTGAGTTTGCTTCTTTTTTTGAAAGGAAAATATTTTACTTTCCTTTGCACTTGACTTCACTTTGACTATGGGGTCATGTCAGGTAGAAAAGTGCACAAGACACGCAACAAGTCTTGGCCTGAACTTGGAACTTGGCCAAGCAGCAAGAGCAGAACCTTTGACGTGGCTTCTGGAAATTACCCTTTTTACGTGGCACATTAATTTCGAGCAGGTTCACTGAGCACTCAACCCCGAAAGTGAGCCTGAACGAATCAACCCACACACATACTTCACAGAACCGTAGCGTCTTTTGACCCTTTTCCCCCACACATTTGACCAGTTCATTGAAGCGTTTTTGGATGTCAGGTTCTTTCTGTGTAAACTACACTGTATTGCCATTGAGAGAGAGAGAGAACCCTAAATGCCCCACAAAATGGCATTAATGACTAGCGTTGCTTTGATTTCAACTTACAGGAGCAGCAGCTTGCTCTTCTATCTTACGAGCTATCTATCAGCCATCAGCCAATCAGCTTCCTAGCTCTTCCAGTCTTTTATTCTAGATTCAGGATTTTTTCCCCCCTTTTGCCGGATTTGTCTCAATTGGTAAATGGAAGCCAATTAGTGGCCGTGCGGCCGGGCTCTGTGTGGCCAAGTGTTAAATTAATTACCTAATGGCTGCACTCTTGGCCCCAATGGTTGGTCGGTTGGTTGGTTTGGTTGGTTTGCTTGGTGCAAAGTTTGCTTATTGAACTCTTAAATAAAATGCACATGCAACTCACTCGCACTATTTGCCATAGATATATCTGCTGCACGTCCTGTGTTTGTTGTGTTGTGTCTCTCTCTCTGGGTGTGCGTGTGTGTGTTGACTTAATTATATTTGCAGTGAGGAAAAACGAAATTGCCGGTAATCAGAGCTCGAGAGTCGGTCGAACCGAGAGCCAAGTGCTGCACAAATAGCCAGTTCAGTTCAGTTCAGTTCAGGTCGGGGTCGTTTTGGTTCGCTTTGGGTCACAGGTCAAATGGGAAGGGGGACAGGATGTGTAGGCAAAAGGCAAAGTGAAGCTCTGCCCATGACAATGGCTGAGCAAATATTAAACAGCCAGACAAACATAGTTGCATTTGTGCACTGGCAAAAGTTTAGGGGAAATTATGAAGGGAATTCCATTTAATTATCAATGAATATTTTTAAAATTTTCTTTTTTAACATGTAGTAAACTTTTTAAAGACTTCATTGATCTCTCGATCCTAATTTTTTCTTGATATAAACTTTATTAAGGTTAGCCTTGAAGCTGAGGTTTGAAATCCTTTCAAAATGTGTCGATAAGTATGCTATAAAAACTGTAGGGAAGCAAATTAAGGGGAATTCTATGCAACAGATAAAATTAGGCACCCAATTTATTGATAATATAATATGTAAAATTACCAAGGATATTTCTTTAAACTTATTTAATCTTTTTGAGTTTTGTAATATTTTTATTACAATTTCCTCAAAGTGCACTCTCTGTGTGTGTGTGGTCAAGTCGAAGAAATCTTGACTGGTCAAATCCAGTTATAAAAATGGCCAGTCTAGAGGAGTCAATGCAACGAGACAACAAAACAGGAGAAGGATGATCCCCAAACGTATACGTAGAAGGTGTGCCACCACACGTGGTCCAAGTGTGTGTGTGCAAGAAATGTAAACTTAAATATTTTATGCCATTCAGGCGGCAAACACAAAGGCGGGTGGCACAACAAAAATAAAAATAATAAAAATGCAAGAAAAATACAAGAAAAGGCAGGAGTAGGAGTGATGCCAGGTAAGTGCCGGTCGCACTGAAATAAAATTGCATACTTTATGGCACAGGATGCGGCAGGAAGCTGGAGCAGCCAGGACCAAGAAGCAAAGGAGCAAAGGACTCGTCGTCTGGCAGACGTCTTTGTCAGCAAGCAGGCAGGCAGGCAGGCAAGGCAGGTTTTCCTGGCTGTCCTGGCAGCGAAGAAATTCGATGAAATTTATTTACAGTTTAAAAAGTAGACAAGTGCCAAGGAGAGGAAAAAGGATCCAAGGATCCGGGACTCCCAACTCCGAACTGCAATCGACTCTCGTGCGTGTCTGCCGGAGTTTATTTAAAATTCAATTATGGCACACAATTGCCGGGGCTGCTTGCCACCACAATGCCAAATGAAGCGGGTTATTTTTTGGCACAAATAACATAAGAACCCCCCGCCACAAGATACTTATGGGGACAAATTGAAATTGTGCAGCCTGCCCTGGTCGTCGGAGCTTAAGTGTATTGCAATTTAGTATCGGGAAAGTGCTTACCAAATAGTTTAGTTTATATATAAATTGTTCATCGATCCTTACCTGCAACAAAAAGAGAGAGGAAAATAATTAGTTAGTTAAGTGCTTAGGTTCTTGGTCTTTGCTTAAGTCTAAAAACATTTGACAATTACAACAATCTCTGGGTTATCTAGGAGGCACACAACATAATATTTATATCAAATTTCATACGACAAATACTAGAGAGGTAGGTAGGTTGGTAGGGTGGTTTTTCTTTTTTAATATTTTATATCTTCACAAATCATAAATAACGCAATAAATCAAATTATGCAAAGAAGAGAAAGAGAGAGTGAGAGAAGGTAATCGAAAAAAAATATTTAACGAGCAATATAATTATTCTATGATACTCGTATAGATTTCCCTTAATTCATTTAATGATGCACCGTTTTCAGGAAATTGCCAGGGATCATTTTTCAAGGTCTATTTTTGCCATCTAATTATAATTTATGTCACTGGCACACACACACAGCCTCCGGCTCCTAGAGATGTCTGCCGGCGATGCTTATAATTTAAATATTCCCCCGTGCTTTCGGTATCTGTTTCATCGTCCTCGTCATCATCATCATCAGCACAGGCACCAGGAGCTTGTCATTGTGACACCCGAAATCTTGTTAAAGAAATCTCAATTATCAACTTTTATTGATTTGCATAGCGAGCGGAAAGCCCGGAAAATGGTAAACAAGCCTCGCCGAGAGCTCAATGCTATTTACGCTCCATTTTCCCAGCGCTTTGCCAAGACAGGGAAGAGCAGCCTTCGAAAGAAAAAAATGCACGAAAACAATTACGATAAAAATGCGAACTCGGGGTCTACGTTCAGGTTCTGTATTCCTTTTTCCCCCGCTACGACTACACAGGACGACTCTGCAGGATGAATGGGCTTTGGTTAGGTAACCTGCCATGCGACAAGCTTTGAGCACGGATAAAAGCAAATTATGATAACAATAAAGATTTAACTAGGGAGGAGTCCTCAGACGGTCGGTTGGTGGCTCAAGTTTATCGGATAGGAGGTTGGGTGGCTGCCCGTCTCTCCTGTCAAGTGGCATTGCCATGGCCATGCCATGCCATTGAGGAATCGACGCCACAAAAGGACGGCAGCTAGAAGCGAGCGCAGGGACAATTTAAATAGACATTTATCTTCTGCCAGGACATACACACACACACACACACAGGACACCACATACACATATACACGTGCCGGTGCCTATAACAAAATTACAGCGAATGCGGCTGATCCATGACGATAATATGGGAATCCCCCACTTTGGCATTGATGATGCGAGCGAGGATAGCGAATGGGAAAAGAAAAGTTGAAGGAGGAGGAGAAGGTTGGACCAACAGGCATTTTTTGGGCGTTTGTCTACACTGAGAAACAAGGGGAGTAAGTTTAAGGGTTTTCTGAATCATAGAAAAGAAAGAAAAATCCTTTTCAAATGTCTGAAAATGGTATAAAGCCTTTTGTTTACTTTGTTTATATTTCAAAGCTAAAATAAGGTTGAATAGTCCTTATATATTTTATAACCAAATATTAATGCCTAAAATTATATTTATTTGTAAGAATTTTGTTATTTATATTTTCTTATAAAATAATAATAATAAAATAAATATTTTTCTTGTCAGAAGAAAAGTAAATAATTTTAAAAAGTAAAAATGACTTTATTTACAATTAAGTATTTAAATTTGTAATATTAAAACCGCCTTTTTATTTTCAATTATTGTTAGCTCTGTATTTATTTTTCTTTAATTTTATTTATGCAACAAAAACAACAACCACAGAATTTCCCCTCGTATTCATAGGCTTGCCTATTTCTTCGAGTTTTTCTTTTTTGTTCTTCCTTTATTATTTTCTTTATAATTTTTTGACTTGGCAAATGTTTTCTAAAGCATAAAAATACTTTTACATTAACTTGTTTCAACACACACACACTCGTTTAGAGACTCAAACCAAAAGTTGTAGAACATTTTTGGGTTTGCTTTTAACGCTCAACGACTTTTGTGCCGAAGAAAAACAGCAAGTTGCTGCGGAAAACTCCAAAGAAGCAGCAGCAACAACAGCAATAATAATCATAACAACAAAGCCGTGTGGCAAAGTGTGTGTTTATGTGCGGAATTCCCTTTTCTTAACTTGGAGGGGTGAGCGGGGAAAACCCCCCCCAAAAAAAAGAAAGTTACCCTGTCTATCGGCTATATCAACATCATTTGCGTTAAGTGGAGAAAAAAGCTGAAAAAAAGTTGAAACATTTACGATTTGCCTAATGCGTTTGACTATCTATCAAACCACAAAAAAATGTACAAAAAACATACAGCAACAAAAAAATTAAATAAAGAAACCCTGGCTAGTAGCCTATTAAATTGCAATAAAGAAAATTCTTTGGCTGCCTGCCAAAATATGGGAGTAAAGCAACAGTTAACCAGATTTTTGGCTCGCCTAATTGGCTGCCTGTTGTTTGTTGTTGTCCTGCCCGCAGGACCCACACAACAACAGAAAAATGTAGCAAAAAACAAAAACAGGACGAAAAAGGAAAAGAGCAGCTAACGTCGAACAAAAAACTGTTGCATACTTCGGGGGGAGGCGAGCAGCCCTAATAACATTTGCCGATAATATGTTTGTGTGTGAGTGTATGAGTGTGTTTGGGGCAGAAATAAATAAAATACTTTTCGGGAGAAGGAGAAAAAAAGGAGCAGCTCTTGCCTTACGTGCTGGGGATTCTTCTTTTTGTCTAGGACACAACAGCAAAAAAAAAGGACCTCAACAGGAGCATAGATTTCGGCATATCGATAGCAAGCGTATTGCATATTTGCTTTTGAGCTCTCTCTTCCCTCTCCGCCCCCGAAACTGAAGCTGAACACTTTTATGGCTTCTGGGCAAAATTTATGATTTCCCCTGCTCTTCCTTTGCTCTCTCTCTCTCTCTCTCCAGGTCCTTTGTTAAAAAAGGATTTCGTTTTGTACAGCTCGTTACCTGAATCTCCCACACCATTGAGCTTCCTTTCCTATACGCCACAAATTTAAGCGCTTTAAAATTTGCATGAAAATCAAAGAGGCAAGGAGGCAGTAGGATGAAATTATGGCAATTAAAACAAATTAACTCTGAGTGAGCACAAAAGCGGTTCGAAAATCTCTGGGTATCAAAGTTCAAAAGCCTATCCTGCCAGTCTCTTCTCTATATATATATATATATATAGATGGAAAGTTAACTAAACAAAATACTAATGAACTTCGTAGTCCGTCAGGCCAAAAGCAAAGCAAATACTTGCTCTTAGTGGTAGCTTCAGGGCGGGGGAGAAATTGATTTGCATAGCAACCGGAGCATTTGGCATAGTCTGCCAAATCGCAAGACACTCGCTAAGCAGTTTAACTATTTAGGGCAACAACTTCAACTGAAGCATTCACTTTGGTATATAGAGGAGATGTACAATTGGAGTGTTTCTAGCTGGTTTTTAGAGGGGTTTAAGGGAAAGGTAACTAAGACAGTAATATCCCCAAGAGCTAGTTCACATTTTGTTCTATTTACTGCTTTATTTTTCCCTGCTTATTAACTCTTTTAACAACTACCCCAAAAAAGGACTTTATTCTTTCCACCTTTTCCCACGCAAAACATATGTTACTTTAGGACTTCTTCAACTAAACCTTAGATACTTTTATCTTCTATAAATCTCAGACACTTGGCTACTTATTTGGAATCCCCAAGTTATAAGACAGAGGCAGCAGCACTGTTTTTGGGCCAAGCATCTTGCTGTGGCACATGGCCATGGCAACTACACAATTTGAGGCGCACGCCGCAGGCTGAAGTGTCAAAGACATGGCCATCACATCACAGGCTCGTCGAGCTACACAAATGTTGACAAGCTAATGAAATGTGAGGCCCCCAAAATTGATACACTCCAACCCAAAGACGACGATGATGATGTTGATGATGAACTCCAAAACTGAAACTGGGCAGACTTCCCACTCAGCTTTTGGGAATCCTTGGACCAATTGACAGTGAAAAGGAGTCCCTGGCGACCATTTTGCACCGTGGGGGACCCCAGTGCTAAATTGTTGCTTAGACATTCGGTTATGCAAATCGAAATTATAATGAAATCAACAATGGGGCAAGAGACCCGAGAGCTGTCTGTCTGGCAGCTCACGAATTTTCTTGAAAATTGATTGATGAAGAGGCAGAGTTCTTGGAAAATGGCTAGAAATTAGCATATAACAAATAGGTAAAGGTGGGCCAAGCGGATTTTTTTTTTCAGAAGAAACGATTTAAAGTTGTTTCTTAATTAAATAGGGATTCCATCCTTGAATTTATATCTGAAATCCTCTCCAATTATCATCTGACAATAAACTACTAGAGAGAAAAGACGACAAGAGCAAAGCACCACAAACCAGAAGCTCAACCATAATTTACTCCAGGTGGAAGTTTCAATTTATTTTTCCTTCGATACTTTATGGCCCCAAAAAAACACACACATGTTCAAATTGAACCTCAAATGGAGGCATAAAATGTGCGATGAATCGGCTCTATCGGCGTGTATATCATGCCGCAAGGAGAATCGATTCGAAACTGAATTCCAAAACAATTTGCCGGAGACAGAGAAGGCCCCCAAAGACATGAGTGGTAAATCACATCAATATGTAACTCAGTCAGCAGTCGCAGGATAACCAGTAACCAGTACCAGTACCAGAGGACGGAAAACTTGAGCGAAGTGGAGCAAAAACAGATGGCAAAGATGTTTATCTAAGAGGAATATGGTCGTACCGGAATCGTTTCCTTCTCCCGGTCTGGTTGGTCTGGACCTGCTCCATCTCCACCCAGCGATTTGCTATGCAATTTTACACACTTGACCATTAAACGTAGCCATTGGGAGCAGTTTGCATAGCAATGAAGCTGGGACGGGGACAGAGAGGAGCAGCAGCAGGTCCTTGCTGCGAGCTCTGAATAGAAAAGCAAGCCATATAGTCGGGTCAACTTGATGAAGTATGAATGATTACGTCAGGACCATGGAGGAGCACACACAGGACTCAGCTTAGCTTAACTCCAG